GGGCATCGGGTGGGTGGCTCGAGCCGTGCCAGGTGCAGGGTCTGCTGGCTGGGTTCTGGCAGGCTTACACCTGGCACAGGCACCGTAGCCAGCCCGTGCCCCTTTAAGGGCTCCGGGGCCAGGAGGGGGGCATATGAGTTTCCCTGATGGTGCCCAGAGTGGCCACCAGGGAAAGCTGGGGAGGGCTAGCCTCCCACTAGTTCGAATTAAGGGGCTACATATCCCTTAATTCGAACTAGTAAGTTCGAACTAGGCTTAGTCCTCGTGGAATGAGGTTTACCTAGTTCGAACTAAGCGCTCCGCTAGTTCGAATTAAGTTCAAACTAGCGGAGCGCTAGTGTAGCGCCTATCAAAGTTAATTCGAACTAACGTCCGTTGGTTCGAATTAACTTTGTAGTGTAGACATACCCTCATTTCCTATCAGGAGAACAAAGATATTATACTTCAATAGAGCATTCACTTTTAAGTGCAATGGAATGGCATAAACCTTCAGCATTAGGGAGGAGGGAAGCAGGCGGCAGCAGAATCTTTCCTTCTTCTGATGGAGCAAAGCAATTATAAAATCCATCCATGGGTTTCTCGTCTCTCATCTTTATGAGTTAAGGAAATAGAAATACCACATTATCATCTACAGGGTGTATACAATGTTAATGTTGGCCCCTGCTAATATGAATGCTTTGATCCAAGAAAAAGATGGACACAAGGGACAATCAACATGAAAAAAAAAATCTATGGGTTAGCGTGCATTGTTCAAATTATGTGCACAGGGAGTTGAGAGACACCGAGACAGTAGCACTGCATTAGCAGTTTAGTCAGGTTTTTCTGTATTTCCTTAAATATCTCCCCAAAGAAAGAGCAAACCTGCTCTGCAACACACATGATATCAAAGGAAATTACAGCCGAAGGAGATACACCTGAAGCAGGTTATGTAAAACTATTTTCTTCTACTTGTTTTAAATATGTTGCCTTCCTTTTCTAAGGCATGTGTGTCTTTTCTTACATTGATTTTACCGTATTTCTTAATTAAGACATCTAAGTGGGGACCAAAACATAAACATTAGCCTCTGATATCCCTTCAAAAGGTATTTAATTCTTTCATTATATACTGCCTTTTTAAAAGACAGTACAAAATATTCATCATTGTAATCAGTGTGTTTTGACCACACAGCTTTCTTAAAAAAAGAACAAGGAAAGTTTCAGAATAAGCATAATTAATAATAAATAATAATAATAATAATAATCAGGGCTTGACAAATAATGCAATCTACCTGCCCGTGGCGAGTAGACTGCAACCCAGAAGAGCCGGGTTCGGGTGATCTGCGCATGTGCAGAACGATCTGCACATGCGCAGATCGCCGGACAGCGCAGCTGGCGAGCAAGGTTTGGCGAGCCCTGATAAAAACCAACAATAATAATAATAATCATAATAAGGACAAAGCATGAAACACACATACACACACACATATACGTTAGACTGAGGGAAGAGAAAGAAGGTATGGGATTCTTCCTAAATTAGTGGCAGAATCATTGAATTATTCAAAATTAGGCTGAGCAAATCAGTTCAGATTAATACCGTATAGGTAGGCAAATAGAAGAGAAGACATGTAAATCTGTTCCACAATTCCAAAACACTTTAACCATGGCATCACATATGTTATCACAGAAAACACTTTCCACTCTCACTCTGAGATTTAAAGCACAATCATCATATCAGTAATTCCAATGCTAGTTTTCATATGGTGTGGACTGAGGTCATCACTGAAACGTCGGCATTTTAAGTTTTCCATACATTTAATTCTCTTAGATTTTGGGGAAAGGGAGTGACTGAACAATATATCTCCCTCATTGGTCAAGAAAATCCCACAAACCTACCAAAGTGTAGGTTTTCAAGATTTAAAACTAAAACTCCAGAAATATTACCTCCTAAAACCAAAATTGTGAACTTGCGTGTTGCAAGTTCAATGAAATCTTGGCTTCCTGACCATATACAAGTACTATCCTATCCAAAATACTAACATTGGGTTACAAAATATGACCCGAAGAAAATTTGCCAAAATAAAAATGGGAATATTTATTATTTTTTCTACTAAAGCAATGCAGGTCTTTTGAGATTACACATTGGTCTTTGCAAATGGTTTACAGCTAAATTCAGACTTTTCACTCTGTAAAAAAATTAGTCAACGTTCATAAAAACAAAGACATGAGGAAGCTGATGAAGAGTCAGAGACTATAATAACTCTTAATGGTGGTGAATAGAGAAAGCCAAATTATTATTTTAAAATTCTAGCACTCTCTGCATCATTAGAAATCCAAGTTCCTTACTACGGGATACAATATAATTTCATATTTGCACATTTTTAGATCTCTAACAATGGCAGTTCTACTTTCCAATAAGGTATGAGGAACTGATCTGAAACAACAGTTAAATAACAGAATTTGATCAAGAGACTCTAAACGTTGCTTAGTAGTTACTACATGCACATGATGCAAGGGGAGGAGATTTATAGACCCGTACATATGATACCAGACATATTTTGTTACAATTGTCAAATGTGCACTGGACAAATTTAAATTCATTAAAGTCTTGTAGGGTTGTTTCATGAAAACAAGGTCAGAAGCACAATATTGTATGTATTTTTCTTCCAAAATTATCTTCACTTCGCCTCCTGAGCTTTCTTGGCATTCTGTTTCTCTTTTGCCTAGAAGGTAAAAAATAGAGAGCATATTAGACTATGATAAGAATACTGCCTACTTTTGTTGCAGCTGAAAATATATGAGTGTCTGTTATCTCCTGGAACATATAATAAAATGCAGGAGACCTTCACAATTTGCGGAATTGCTATTTGCAGGTCTCTTCTCTCCCCTCCATTGTACCGCATCTCTGGCCTGCGGGTCAGGGTCTCCCTGTAGTGAGCTCCCCATGGCTCCCAGCTCCTGCAGGAAGCTCCCCGCGGCTCCTGGTCCCCATGGTGAGCTCAGGAGCCACAGGGAGTAACCATTGTGGCTGGGAGCCACGGCGAAAGGGAGCACTTGATCTGTTTCCCCTTCCTCGGAATTCGCAGATTTCACTATTCTCAGTGGTGTCAGGAATGCATCTATCATGAATGGTGAGAATTTACTATAACACGTCCCAACAAAAACCATTTAAACAATGTGAAAGCTTGTTGATTGCTGGACATGTAATTACTATATCTTAAGAACATCTCTGGGCATGAGCTTATATTAACGCAAAGCAGGTTAATGAGCTCTTGACTTCTTGTGGAAAATTCTGAAGAAACAATACTTTACTTAAAGACAGTTTAGTCTTAAGCATCTATTTTTTTTCCACATAACTAAGGAGGAGATACCCAACAATAAAATTATTAATGCTCCGGTGATCATCTGCTCATGTACTTTATTCTCCAGCTGACAAATCATATTTCTGTGAATATCACTTTTGGTGCTGTGGGAAGAATCATAAGTCACACGCAGAGCTCAAGTGAGGAATCGTCAGCTGATCTGGTCTAAAGTTAAAAAAAAAAGATATTTCTACTGATGTTTTGCTTCATCAAGAAGAACAGAGGATGAAAAATATAGAAACTCAGAGCAAGGTTATTTGTAAATAGAATTTCTTGCTCAGTTTTGTACAAGGTGTTAAAAGTCTATGTTCCGTGCAAATGTCCATTTTAAAAACACTATGTAATAAAACACTAATAAGCTAATTTTGTTTTTAGCAATACTCAATTATGAAATATTTGTGTTCAATAGTTATGTGAGATCAGAAAAGTAATCCCTTGGAATACAAAAAAATACTACCAATACCCCCCAAAACAACAAATCCTGTTATTGAGAGAAAATGAATAGGGATTTCTATTTTCCCTTGTTACATATGTCACATCATTTGCTATGGTTGCTGCACAATGAACTAAGATAAACATGAGAATTCTATCTGTATAAATGAACATCCAAATCAAACTAAGTTTCTTTACACACACATAATGCTAATACGCCACAGAGAAACTATCAAGAAATTTCACTTATTCAAATTTGAAGCAGTTTTCCCCATTAAATCTTACAAGCACTAGGTAGCATTTAACTTGCTGTCACACTACAAGTTGAACCTCTCTAATCTGGCACTCTCTGGTCCAGCAACATCCATGGTCCAGCATTCTTTTAATTAGCCAGTTGTCCCCTTACTGTTGATGAAGCCAAATTTCCTGCATTCCCTAACGTTTGTGTACAGACAGCAGTGCTGGCTCTCAGTGTTCTGTGCTGTTTTTTTTGCTCTAATGTACCCCTAAATGTCTTCTAAGAGCGCAAGTGGAAGTCTAGGTAATGCTGCTAGACAATATTGATCTCCTGTGATTCAGCAAATTCTCTGGTTCAGCATTGGTCAGGTCCCAAGGGGGCAGACTAATGAGGTTCAACCTGTACTTGACCTCTTCACTACAAATTTTAAAGACTAAAATGATATTGAGAAAGATTTACCCTATAGTAACTATGGTTTTTTGCATAAAAGTGTGCACGTACCTAGTTCTGACTGTTGCTTGCAATTGAATTGATTTGGCTTGAACTAAAGGATCCTGAAGTAACATTGTGAGTGTTCTGTTATGAATCCTCTAAGCCACTATGTCTCACCTGAGGCTCAGTAATAAGAGAAACTCATACAGGATAGACATCCCTGGTTTGGCATCCTGGGTACCTGACCGGCCCTGGACAAGGGAGTTTGCCAGACCAGAGAAGGTCTGGGAGAGGGAGCACCAGCCTCTCTATTGAGCTCCTCTTCCCAGACACTTGGCACTACTGCCTGCTGTGGGCCCCAGGAAGCCCCGCTCGCTTCCCTGCCTTGCCAGCTGTGGGTTTTGGTGCCCCGTGGTCTCCGCTGCCCTGCAGGCTTCTGGCTACCAGACCATCATTGTTGCTTGACCAGAGAGTCCTGGACCACAGAGATTCAACCAATGATATGTAACTTCATACAAAAACCATGCACTACAGTTGCTAACACAAGACCACTAAATATATAGTTTAATTCAAAACAAGAAATATCAAAGTTGGCTTAATTTCTCTGGGTCAAATTTAAACTAACTGTAAGAAAGTTCCTTCATGTTTGCATATGTAAACAGAAGTGAGGCCTAACTACTTAATTCAGAGTTTCTCTGTCTATATCTAAGGTAAAAATATTAAACAAAACACTAGGAAGTGGCAAAGATAAACATACCATCACCTCAAAATAGCTGTCCTAATGACAATTGGTAAAGCAATGATCTGCCCACGCAGACGTGGGCTCATAAATTTTCCTCACCCAAACCCAAATGTTCAACTAAATGGAAAAGCTTGTCAAGCTGAACAAATAGCTATTTATCTTAAGAGTCCAACATAGGGGATACAGATTATATTCAGTACAAGTCACATGTGCAAGCCAATAACATGATAAAAATCCCAATTAAGTCATCTGTCTGAATAACTTTACAGTTTAATGATCTTACCAGAGAGAATACTGAAACATTACAGCCTTGATTTAAAGCTTATTTCAAGGCATGTTTAACAGTAAATCATGGCTATAACTGGAAGCAGCATAGAAAGGAAAAAGCAAAAAGTTGACAAATCAATACATTCAAGAAAGATCAAAGCAAATGTAGAACATGATTCCCCCCTATGTACCAATATAGGCACACATGGGTTGCCATCTAGTGTTCACAGATATATAAATCAGTTTTACATAGACTTCAGGACCTAGTCTGTAATAATAAGACAACAGCTATATAGCCTTGTGTGTGACTAAGTTTTAGCTTTCTCTGTTCCCCTTGGAGATAACATATCCTATGTTGCTCTGGGGTGTGTGTAAGCTACCCTCAGAACGACACAAGTTACACAGACCTACGCCTGAGTTTGGACAGCACTAAGTTAGCCGCAGAGCTTCTCCTGCTGACAATTACTGCCCTTGGGGAGATAATTTTATTATGCCAATGGGAGAGAGCATCCTCACCAGATGTGATGGGAGATCTCTCTCCTTTATGTACAGTGTCTTCCCCAGACATGCTACAATGACACTGCTGCACTCCTTTCTAGTGTAGATTAGCCCTTTAGTAAGGCTTCCTCATGCAACGTCAGCCAGCAGTCTCTGTGATTCCTTTTGTCTTCCATGTCACTAACAGTTTTTATTGAAATGCTCTTTGCTTTTCCAGCATTAGAGGACTTTGGGCTATCGGAAAGACACTCCTTGGGGCTCTTGCCGAACAGAGTATGTCTCCCCCCATCTTGGTGAGCAACTGTATCTTCAAAATACGGGGACAAGGGGGAGGGGAGAAAGGGGAATCCCCATATATGCTTGCCATTTAACCTCACATAGCAAGTTTAACCAAATACACCCTTTCCATTTACAGTTCCAGTTTTAGAAGCACAGCTACATTTCTGTTCACTCAGAAAACATGTACAATACATAATTAATTATCTTGCTTCTTTAAAAGTAATTCAAGAGATGCTCACCTTTTCTACCAGTGGTATTAACTGTTGGTGTTCTGCTAAAGTTTTTAACAATTCCATGATGAAAGGCAGGTAGTTATGTTTTCTTCTAATATTTTCAATCTGAAAATTAATTGCAGGCATTAATGGAACTGCTATGTGTCAGGCAGTAAGGATTTCCCCCCTCTCATTATAGTAGTTCTCTTAAGGTTACATTCTCTTTTTGAGCCCCTTACCAAGTTCAGATGGTGAAGTTTAGAGTACTTAAAAGAAAAAAAATCAATGCATTACACTAAGTTTGTAAGGCACAAAAATAAACTGCCCTTAAGACTTATCTGCCATGCCATCTTCCAAAAAACACACCCAACCTGATGGTGGTCACACAGCTAGTATGTTGCAGATCCTACTTATCATACTAACAAATACAAGTTCATTGTGGTCACCATCTCCTGTTTTATACTTTAACTGTAAACTCTTTAAAGCAGAAACTGTTTGTTACATAATTGTATATTCCCTAGCACAGCGTTTCCCAAACTATGGGCCGCAGCCCGGTACTGGGCCGCAGGAAAAAAATACCGGGCCTCAGCATGGCTGCCTGGAGGAGACAGGAGCTGGGTGGGGGAGGCGAGGGAACGGCTGCCAGGAAGCAGGGTTGGGGGCAGTGGGACTGTCCAGCAGAGATGCAAGGGTGGAGCGGCGGTCAGGCGGCAGAAGCAGGTCGGAGATTGGGAAGAGGAGGATGGGAGAACCAGCCTCCGGAAGCAGGGCTGGATGGGGGCAACGGGGCTGGCCAGGGGAGATCGGGAGGAGAAGTGGGGGAGAATTGGCTGGCTGGGAGAGGGTCAGGAGGAGCGGGGCTGGGCGGGGGAGATCGCGGGGGACGGGGAGCAGCCGGCAGAAGCGGGGCTGGCCAGGGGAGATCGGGAGGAGAAGTGGGGGAGAATTGGCTGGCTGGGAGAGGGTCAGGAGGAGCGGGGCTGGGCGGGGGAGATCGCGGGGGACGGGGAGCAGCCGGCAGAAGCGGGGCTGGCCAGGGGAGATCGGGAGGAGGACGACGGGAGAACCAGCCTCCGGAAGCAGGGCTGGATGGGGGCAACGGGGCTGGCCAGGGGAGATCGGGAGGAGGACGACGGGAGAACCAGCCTCCGGAAGCAGGGCTGGACAAGGGAGATTGGGAGGAGAAGCTCCTTTAGACAAGGGGTGGGCATTAATTTTTGATTGGGGGGCCACTCCAAGAATTTGGTAAATGGTAAAGAGCCACACAGGTTGAGTACAGAAAGGAGCTTGTTGTATGGGACTGGGGTGCAGGAGGGGATTGAGAGATTTGGGAGAGTTTGAGTGGAGGGAGTTATGACCTGCAACATGAGATTGGGGTGCAGAAGGGAGTGCAAGGGGTTGTAAACTGGGGCAGGTTCCTAAGCAGGGTCCCTGCCTTCCATGCATCTACACTGACTGCTGGGGGCCATGTACTGCTCTGTATGCTATGAAGCCTAGAGAGGGGTGGGATACATTGTGCGCTGCCTGTCCTGCAAACAGGAAGCTCCCATTGGCTGGAAACTGGCCAATGGGAGCTGGGAGATTGTTCTGTGGGTGGGAACAGTGCATGAAGCCTTCCTGCCCCTCCCCCATGTTTGCAACATTCAGAGAGCTGCTCCAAGCAACACGTGGGGAGCGGCCAGGGCAGACAGGGGGTCTGGCTGAGGCTCCTGCAGGCTGGATATGGCAGCTTGGTGGGTTGGATCTGGCCCATGGGCCATAATTTGCCCGTTCAAGCTTTAGACAAAATGCAATACAAGAGGTAATTTACAGAGATAAATCCTCCTAAAACATCATAGCATGCTGCAATTGGGCAAATGGCTGTATATACAGAACAGAAACAGAATTGATGTTCTTACAGGTGGCAAAGGTTTTAATTAACAAACCCTGCATCTTTAAAGAACTGGTAAAATATTTCATTCTGTACAGATATGCACTTCAATAAAAAGTTTTAGAAGTATCTTACACATTTAAAATAAATGTTCTATCCTATCCAGCAAGAAGCAAAGAGAGATGCATAGAGATTAAAGATAGGGCAAACCTACAAGGTTACCCCACTCATTCTCTTATTTCTCTAAACATGCTACAGTTGGTATTCTGTAGGTTAAAAAACAACGAAGCTAGTTGCCTGTTTGTTGTGTCTTTTATATCTCCAGAAATCAATGGTGACTGGCTCCAAAGGTTGATCAACAAAGATATAACTGTCCAGTGTGCACTAGCTGACTCAGGTTCACAGGGCTGTTTTAATTGCTCATGCAGATGTTCAGGCTTAGGCATAGGCTCTGGTACCCTCTCACATCGCAGAGTGCTAGAGGCCAGACTGCAGCCCTGAAAGTCTACATCAACAACTGCCCCAAGCCTGCCATGAGTATCTAACTAAACTACAGACATACCCCAAAAATCTTTCCCCATTTCTATGAATCAGAATGCATTCAGATTACCATAAAGTAAGAAGTTAAACAGCCAGAATCTCTGTTAAACATGCCAACTTCTTACATAAGAACATAAGAACGGCCGTACTGGGGCAGATCAAAGGTCCATCTAGCCCAGTATCCCATCTACCGACAGTGGCCAGCACCAGGTGCCCCAGAGGGGGTGGACCAAAGACAACGATCAAGCGATTTGTCTCCTGCCATCCCTCTCCAGCCTCTGACAAACAGAGGCCAAGGTCACCATTTTATCCCCTGGTTAATAGCCTTTTATGGTCCTAACCTCCATGAATTTATCCAGCTTCTCTTTAACCTCTATTATAGTCCTAGCCGTCACAGCCTCCTCTGGCAAGGAGTTCCACAGGGTGACTACACGCTGTGTGGAGAAGAACTTTCTTTTATTAGTTTTAAACCTGCTACCCAATAATTTAATTTGGTGTCCTCTAGTTCTTCTATTATGGGAACTAATAAATAACTTTTCTTTATCAGCCCTCTCCACACCACTCATGATTTTATAGACCTCTATCATATCCCCCTTCAGTCTCCTCTTTTCTAAACTGAAAAGTCCCAGTCGCTTTAACCTCTCTTCATATGGGACCCGTTCCAAACCCCTAATCATTTTAATTGCCCTTTCCTGGACCCTTTCCAAGGCCAAAATATCTTTTTTGAGGTGAGGAGACCACATCTGTACACAGTATTCAAGATGTGGGCGTACCATAGTTTTATACAGGGGCAGTAAGATATTCTGGGTCTTATTTTCTATCCCTTTCCTAATAATTCCTAGCATGCTATTTGCCTTTTTGACCACCGCTGCACTCTTGTGTGGAAGTTTTCGGAGAACTGTCCACGATAACTCCAAGATCTCTTTCCTGATTTGTCGTAGCCAAATTAGCCCCCATCATACTGTACGTATAGTTGGGGTTATTTTTCCCGATGTGCTTTACTTTACACTTATCCACATTAAATTTCATTTGCCATTTTGTTGCCCAATCACTCAGTTTGGTGAGATCTTCTTGGAGTCCCTCACAGTCTGCTTCTGTCTTGACTATCCTAAACAGTTTGGTATCATCTGCAAACTTTACTACCTCACTTCTTCTGCACTTCATTCTATTCATCAAAAGCTAGGAGTGGGACTTCAAAAAGTGACTAATAAAAATATGCTCTACTCATTTGTAAACAGTGTAAAAATCTCACATCTGTACCTAATTTAAGACCAAAAAATGCAAGCGGTTTTTAGGTCATATTCAGAGATCACAGATGTATCCTGATATAGAGAAGCAAATGTAGAACATAAACAGCTAAGTACTTTCATTGCTCTATAGTTCATCGCCACTCTAGTATACACTTCTCATCAGCTGGGTAACAATGTTTTTCAAAAACATAAAACATACCCTAATAAAACAAAGAAAGATGGGAAAGGCATTAGAAATATAAATCTTATAAGGAATTCAGAGAGATGACTCCCCTCAATACTCCTAAAAATCACTAGACCAAAAAGAATAAAAACTCTGAGAAATAAAAGGTGGCAGAATTATTGAAGACTATAGTTAGAACATCTTGCAGCACATGGAACTGTCTCTTCCCAGGAGTTGTCTGATTAATTTTATGCATACATACATTCAGTTAGGAAGAGAAACCAGTATAGAGGATGATTCAGAGAAAATATACATAAGAAAATGTGACCATTTTATGATCCAAATAAAGAGAGAGTAGATAAAAAATATCCTGGGGATCTAGAAAGAAAGATGGTAAGTGAACAAACCAATAATTCAAGAATATAGTGCAGTGCCTTGTTAATACCATTTTAATTCCTCCAGCCCTGATGTGAAGAAGCATGAAATTGGCGTTATTTCCAGGACTTGCTCTTCATTAGAGTCTTGAGAGCTCTATTGTAAAAACAAAAAAAGCAAACAAAAAGCCCTAAACATACCTTGTATCTTTTTAGTTTTTGGTTCTCTTCTTCAATTAACATCTGATATTTTGCAACTTCTGACTGAATAGAACTTAACATATTACTACTCTGGTCTGTATCCATGGGCTCTTCCTTAAAGAGTAAAATGAATAGCAAAGTTAGAATTTTATGAGAAGTCTTATCTATACAATGTTTATACCGGTATTTCCTAAATTAAGATTTTCGGTTCTCTCATGAACCGCAGTAGAATTAAACATATAGGTATAACATTGCTATAAACAAAATATCTGAGTACCTTCCATAGAAAAATCAATAGCAACATGAAGTTCACAGCAGACTTAGAATCACAGAATAATAGGACTGGAAGGTACCTCAAAAGGTCATCGAGTCCAGCCCCCCGCCCTCAAGGCAGGACCAAGCTCCGTCTACACCATCCCTGACAGATGTCTATCTAACCTGTTCTTAAATATCTCCAGAGAGGGAGATTCCACCACCTCCCTTGGCAATTTATTCCAATATTTGACCACCCTGACAGTTAGGAATTTTTTCCTAATGTCCAATCGAAATCTCCCCTGCTTCACTTTAAGCCCATTACTCCTTGTCCTGTCCTCAGAAACCAAGAGAAACAAATTTTCTCCTTCCTCCTTGTGACACCCTTTTAGATATTTGAAAACCGCTATCATGTCCCCCCTTAATCTTCTTTTTTCCAAACTAAACAAGCCCAGTTCATGAAGCCTGGCTTCATAGGTCATGTTCTCTAAACCTTTAATCATCCTTGTCGCTCTTCTCTGTACCCTTTCCAATTTCTCCACATCTTTCTTGAAATGTGGCGCCCAGAACTGGACACAGTACTCCAGCTGAGGCCTAACTAGTGCAGAATAGAGCGGCAGAATGACTTCACGAGTTTTGCTTACAACACACCTGTTAATACAACCTAGAATCATATTTGCTTTTTTTGCAACAGCATCACACTGTTGACTCATATTCAACTTGTGGTCCACTATGACCCCTAGATCCCTTTCCGCCATGCTCCTTCCTAGACAGTCGCTTCCCATCTTGTATGTATGGAACTGATTGTTCCTTCCTAAGTGGAGCACTCTGCATTTCTCCTTATTAAACCTCATCCTGTTTACCTCTGACCATTTCTCTAACTTGCTAAGGTCATTCTGAATTATGTCCCTATCCTCCAAAGAAGTTGCAACCCCACCCAGTTTGGTATCATCTGCAAACTTCATAGCCTCTGAACTGTAACTTATTACTTTGTGGAGTAAAATCACTGCCAGGGCAGAGTGTTGTTTTTCTACTTCCTCCCCTCTTCATGGGGCATGAATAGAATGATTAGTTGCAAAATATCTCTCTCTGCAATCCTTCAAATTGAGTAATATTTCCCCCTGGACACCTATAACTGATGAGTGCAAAGATGAGACATTAGGCCAATTCTGAGAAGGAATACTTTCTGGCAGTGGCTGCACATGAGGTCTCTATCTCCATCAGCACCGATCCCAGTGGGGCCTTACACTGGCGACTCTGATCTTCATGGAACCAACACTTGATCTCAAAGCATCAGGTACTGTTCTTGATGGTGGTCTTCCAGGTTACTCATTCCTCCACCAATCTCTCCCAGGTGTCAGTACCTTCCATAGGAAAATCAATGTCGCATTTTACTAACGTGTTCTTAAGGACATCTCTGGTTCCTCTGCCCACCACGAGACCTCAACTGCTCATCAGCTGAGCCAGAAAATCTGTTTGGGCAAACGTATGTTAGGCATCCTGACCATGGGACCTGCCTGTGGGCAATTACTACCTCAATGCTGCAAGAATCAGCCTCTACAAGGACACTCATGTTGGTCTGCTCTGCCACATGATGCCCAGTATTCTCCTCAGGTACCTGTGATGGAATTTCTCCAGATCTTTAATATGATGTCTGTAGGGAGTTCAGGCTTCAGCTCCATATAGCAATGTTAGGATGAATACGGCATGGTAGACATTGATCTTGGTCTGCCTCTTGATGTCACAGTCATTGAAGACTCGCCTCCGTAAACGTCCATAAGCCATACTGGAGATTTGGTGGCAGATTTCATCGTCGATCTCTCTTGTATAAGGCAGGCAGAAAAGATCATGAGTCGTTCCTCACCCTGGACAGAAGCCGTGTTGTGACACCAGATGGACTTCTTCAGCCAGTGGAAGGAGACACTTCAGAAGGACTTGGATGAGAATTTTACCTGCAGTTGAAAGCAAGGTGATCAGTCTATCCACAGGCTGTCCCATCACCCTCTTAAAGATGGTCTCTATGATGGCGTCTCTGAGTTCGCTGGGAATGGTTTCCTAGATCATCAAAATGAAGGAATATAGGCAAGACCCTCCCTGTTTGAAGATCTTAGCAAGGATTCAGTGAGTGCCTGTGGCCTTGCTGTCTATCATCTTTTTTGTGGCTGCTTGGATCTCGCAGATGGAGGGTTCACGATCCATATCGACATGGACAGGTAGACTGGTGATCATGTTGAAAATGCTGTCATCGATAGTTGCGCCACAGTTGAACAGATGGCTGAAGTATTCCTGCTACCAGCTATTGATGCCATCTTTGGTCTTGACAAACAATGTCCCGTCTACTAATTACAGGGGATTGACACCCTGTTTTGATGGTCCATAGATTGCCATGGTGTTGAAGAACTCATGATTGTATTTCCTTTACTTTGTCTCTCCAACAGTTGTTTTTAAGGACTCTAATTCTTTGTTGTACTTTGGTAAGCTTGTAATCATGTTTCTTCTGCTGAGACAAATGCTAGGCTTTGAATGCTCTGTGTTTAACATCAATTAGGTCCTGGAGGTAATTAATTTTTTTTTATAATCCTCCAAAGTGGCAGTGGTATTGAACTATTGCATTATTTAAATATCATATCTTACCTCTGAAAGTTGCTGCTGTAATTCTGTTATTTTCTGCTCATATATCATTTTTCTGTCAGACACAATGGCCATAAGGTTAAATCTTATCTCCCCTTCACTGTATCTAAAAGAAGACAACGGCCTTTTTTATAATTACAATCATTTGCACAACAGCTCCACACAAAAAAAAGTAAAACAAAAATCCTCTATGGTTTCTTAATTGTAAAAATAAAACAAGTAAAATAAAAAAAATGCAAACATTAACATTTCACATGAGATAATAAATTATGAAATAAAGTTGTGGATATTGTTCCACTCTTTTTATGGAACAAAATTACATCATAGATGACTGCACTGAATTAAAACAGCACTAAATATGGCAATTAGTCCAGTACAAATTGGACCTCTGTGATTCAACACCCCCAGGACCTGACTGGTCTCAAACAAGGGGTTTTGCCAGACCAGGGTAGGTCATTTCTGCAGTATGCATTTCCACACCCACACAAAAAAAACAATGCAGCTGTCTTTGTACAACTACAGGTTGGACCTCCTAGGTCCTGCACCCTTGGAATCTTACTGGCCCCAGATGAAGGATTTTGCTGGACCAAGGAGGTCATTTCTGGCTCCCCTGCTTCCAGCCCCACCTCTTTCCTAACCCCTCAATCGGGCTTTCTGGCTCCCCCTGCAGCCTTGCCAGCTCATGGCTCCTTGGCTCCCCCAGCAGCCCAGCTGAGCCACATGACAGCTTCCACCCCTACCCTTGTAGCCCAACTGAGCTGCACACCAGCTCGCACACCTGAAGCACAGCTGAGCCACACACTGGCTCCCGGCTCCCCACACCCCAGCCTAGCTAAGCCGCACAATAGACCAAGAATGTCACTGTACCAGAGAATTCCAGTTTACAGAGGTGTAACTTGTAGTACCTTTTACTGAACCTATGCAAACTTTATTTTCCCACATTAAGCTTAAATGTTAATGTTTTCTGCTTATCTGACAGTTAACTGCTTTTCAAAATATAAAATGTAAGAGTATCCTTCAGGAGCTGTCCTCTGTAACAAAATAAGTTGGTGTTTTGGAGCTGTGATTTGAGAAGGAGGGATAAGAAGTTAGGAAAATGGATAGCCCTAGCTCAGTCATGGGTAATGTAGGCTAGCGAGTGAGTCACAAGTAGCCCTCCTTCATGTCAGTGGGCTGCAAGATTGTCACAACAAAGACGGTATCCCTGGATAGGGTAGTTTTACTAACTGCACTTGCATACACTTAGAATTAGCGAGGTGTGCAGACTGAACCATAGCAGTGCTTTGATTGTATGCAGAGGGAGTGCATGGCTCTCAGTGTCAATGTTGGGTACAATCAGCACACACTTCAAGTGCTCTTGCTTTATATGCATGTCACTTTAGTAATACCGGTAGAAAACAATACTAAGCGGACAGAAACCGGCAGAATCTGGCAACCATGTGCATGGGCCAGGTAAACAAAATGTCCCACAGGCCACGCACAGAACCCTGGTGGGCCATATGTGGACCCTGGGCTACAGGCTGCCCACGACTGCCTGAGCTTGTTTTTAGAATGCTAAACAAAAATAAAAAAAAGAAAACTCTACTTTTAATATCAAGGAAAGTTAGGAATTGATTCTTTTGCTATACATGTATGTTCATTAAAAACACCCTTGATGTTTACTTTTGTATTCGTTTCTCTATAACAGGCCTGACAGCACTGATCCAATCATCTTGATTACAGGCACCTGGATAGGACACATAAAAGGTAAAAAAAAAAAAAAAAAAAAATCAGGTTTGCTGAAAATTCAAGACTGACAATTCAGCCTCTGAATATTCATTTACAAAAGCTACTAAGAGTTTATTTTCTCTGAAGAATAACAATACTTAATTGTGCAAACTGATCTTTTGGAAATAGAAAGTTAATTGCTGGCTCTTTTTAATACTCTAATATTCTACTGAATAATATTTAGAAAAGTGATAGAGCTGAAGTAGATTTTAAAAGGGAAAAAAGTTCTTTGTGTGATGAGGCATTCAATATGCTTTAAGAAAATATGCATATGAAAATGAATATGATATAACTCATGTGTGGGTAATAATTTTTAAAAGGGGTCCACTTCAGAAAATTCTCAGGTGACCCTAGGCCACCCTGGAAGGGACAGAGCCTCAAATGGAAGAGGCGGGGCCAAGATACTCATGCTTCCCCCTGCCCCACAGATCCTGACTGGCCGGGGGATGGGGGAGCTTGTGAAGTCTCCCTGCCCCCTTCTGGTGCCCAGAGAAAATTGCCAGCTGTTTTAAACAACTGGCAGTTCCCTCTAGGCACCACAGCGGGAGGAGATCACATGCTCCCTCCACCCCCAGGCCAATCAGGACCTGGGGAACACTTACACAAAGTCTCTCACCCCCTGCCCCCACCCTGCCAGGCGCATTCTGCAAGACAGAATCACCAGCTGTTTTAAAACAACTGGTATTTCTCTCTAGCCACTGCATGTCCCTGGTTAGGGGGAGGAGACTTCATGCACTCCCATCCCCAGGTCTCGATTGGCCTTGGGGCGGAGGAGCAGCAGGGCAGCTATGGACCGGATCCACCAGCGTAGCAGGCCAGATCCGGCTCCCGGAAGTCCCTTTGCCCCTCCTTGACACAATCAGAATATGCTTTATGTGAAATACTTACGTGAGGGGTCAATGGAAAGGTTGTAATCTCCTGAATATGATTATTCCATTTGTATGCATATATCACTCTTGTATTTGAACTAGGGATGTTAAGGACTAGTCGACTAGTTGCTTCCCCCCTTGCTGCCTCTATCGGGAGATTCTTCAAAGAGGGGGATTCTTCAAAGCAGCGGCGCCATAGGAAGCCCAGCGTCAGCTGGAGTCCCCAGCTAACCCCAGGTTCCCATACGGTGCTAAGCCCGGGATTAGCGCTGAGGCACTACCCCTTTGAATCGCCACTACAGCCTCACAGAGCCAGAGTCAGCTGGAGTCCCAGGCTCCGTGCGACACTGCCCCTTTGAAATGCCGGGGTGGCCCATTGCCTAATCAAATAGTCGATGTAATAATGCATCAACTATTTGATTAGTGAAATACACGCTTCTTAACATCTTTAATTTGAACTTAGAAATATGAAGCATAAATCTGTATTACTAACATACTCGGGCTAAGTGAGGGCCATTAGTAATACTCAAGTAACTTAATGGCCCCAATACTCAGAATAATGATTTGTGAATAGACTCATTTTTCCTGTAAGGCTGGGAGAAGGAGCTATAGTGGCTCCTACCAAGACACGTGGCCATGTCACCTGATGCTGGGATCTACCTTGGATGTTGTATTTTTCCACAAGAGCAGAGGGACAGTTAAGACTAAATACAAAAGATTCCTACCTTCTGCAAAACCTATTTAAGGGTGAACTTAATTTACCTAAATCAATTGGTCCTTCCCTTAATCCATCTAGCTCATATAGCCTTCCATTAACAGGAACATAGCTTACGAAGTGAAATGCATCTTCTTCTTTTGCTGATGACTTTGCATCAAACTCAAACATTTGTTGTCTAAAAGGTAAAGAGAGAAAATGCTGAAATGAAAGAAAAAAAAAAGGTAACTGAATTTTAAAGATTTGTAACATGCACAATTTTTGTTACCTGGCAAAACTGTTGTGAACTTGCCGAATCACTTCAGAGTTGCTTAGTGCCAAACCTTTCATCTAAAACACACACACACACAGACACATATATATAAAAAAAATAAGATAAAAAGAACATAAGCTAATTGTTCAAATAATTGTGCACCAAGTACAAAAGTTAGTTGCACTTACCGCAGCATCAAAACTTTGTGAAAATTCTTTAAATTCTGACAGTGTGTCTCCCAGATGGATATCTTGATGGATACAGTTTAATAGCACACTTACTATGGCTTGAGTAGCGCAAGCATTGTTTATTACCTAGAAAGAGGTATGGAAAGTGAGGACCATTGCATAACAGGACCATTTCTTCCTTTATAAACCCTTATTTTCCAGCAGAGCTCTGATCTAAGTTACAAAAGTTCACTTCAGAAGCAATACCTAATTTTTGATAAACACATAGTACCACCAAAAGAGCAAAACTAGTCTGGACAGCCATAAAAGCCTCTGTTGTAGAAGATAAACCAAGTGATGCAGGATGGTGGTTGACCAACACACAAAAGGTGCAAGTATTCTAAGTAAATATATTAGAGACACCTTGTAATTTGTCCCCTAACTTCTAAAAGAACAATTAAAACATTAAAAAACACAACAACCTGACCAAAATATAGGGATGTCATTGATAGCTAAAGAACAGCAAAGAATCTTTTGCTTACTTTTAAGATGCATTTTTGTTAATTTTAGGGTATACGCTTATTCTATTAATGATTCAGGGCTTCATCCTTACACAGACTCACTAGTACTCTGCTTGATTTCAATGGGATCACTGGCAGAGTAAGGTATTACCACAAAAAACCTGACAAACTGGTGAAAGTACTTTGTATTGCTCATGGAATAACGGGGGGGTGGGGGAGGCAGAAGAGGGGAATTATCAAAATATCAATATTTAAAAGGCATCCCATGGGACCTAGATATATATATGAAAAACTGCCCTACCAAAAAAACTAAGCAAATATATTAGAGTCATTCTCAAATTCAGAATTTCTGTGTTAAAAATTTTCATAAAGTTTTTCCTTTTCCACTCTTTTACAGAACACTTATTTTCCTTTACCTCAAGTTTATTTTTAAAAACTGAGACTAACACAAATACACCAAAAAAAATCAAGCCATTTAATCTACCATGTTTTTGAGAGAGTTTGTTTGCCTATCTGTTCAAGAACACCTCTTATACAGTAAGAGCAAGGACCACAAAATTTGTTATACAGCTTCCTCTTAGAGCTGGGGTAGTCCTGTCTCTCCAGGGCAGCCTACATACTGAAGCCCTCAGGTCCCAACCCAAGGCAATGATTTAAATGTACATTTTGATTTTATTTTTAAAAAACAAAAATTGAGTTTAGGAACTAAGCAATGTCAAGTAAATCTTCTAGTGATAAGATAGAGTACCATCCTTATTTCACCTTGCAGCTTTTTTTTTTTTAGTACAATATTCTACCTTTTGAAAAAGTAAATCAAATCCTTAATGTTAGTCATATCTTTTGTACATTAAAGAGAGATATATAGCCTAAAACTTAAAAAAAAATGAAAGTGAAATATGAGCTCTATATATGTTGAAGAATGAAGAGTGAATTCTACCTTTTCAAAAATTTTCATAAAAGATATGGGACCATATCCTGCCCTTAGTTACCTTTGTGTAATTTCACTGAAATCAATCAAGTTGTCAAAGGTGCAATTAAAGACAGAATTTGGACAAGGAATTATGTTATATTGGGATGGGACTATGTGCAGTATAATGAGGGATGATTATTATTTGTTCCACTAAGTTCATAGGCCAGGAAAAAAAATTTTTTTTTAAAAAAAGAAGATTTTCCAGTCTGCAAGTACATTCCAGTATAACAGTTTACATACATTTTAAAAGATAACAATGTAAGAAGTTAATTATATATCAACCATTTGAAATATACTTCAGGGCTATAAATATGAAACCACTTCCAACAAAAAAGTGGACAACATCTGTTTCTAGTCAAAGCAGGTCAGAACAAACTGACACCTTTTCTTTGGCAAGATCAGGGGAAAACAAAACAAAATATACAAGATACCCAGGGTGCTAGAAAGTGTTCTATTTGTACTTTATGTACTGAAGTATATTGCTCCATGATCTGATCTGAGTTTACCATTAAGTTATCCAGAAATAAGTATGTCACTGGAAAACTGGACTGCATCTATATTATTGAGTTAGAATACATATCTAGACTTTTTCTTCTTCAAACTCTAGCATAGATTTGCATGTAAGACATTACCTGCTATTTAAGGGACAATATGGAATTATGTTCCTGGAGCCTCTTCTACTAAAGGTACAGTATTGAAACCTGCCTTAAAATGTGTATTGGAAGGAGGGGCACAAAAGTTATTGTGAGTAATTTACAAGTTACAAACATTAAAATACGGCCATCTTGGTATGGAGGATGAAGCCAAGATGGACAGTTACTTCTTAGCTTATTGAATACAAAGTTTTTTTATTCCCTTAGCCCTCTTCTCATTTTCCTTGTCCCCCTTCACCTACTAGAAAGAACCTCAAACATCACCCCCCTCCCTCTTTTTTTTGTTTTGACAAGACTTGCTGTTCTAATGTTGTATACCATGCCAGATAACTGATTTATATTATGGAAATGCCCAGAAGCCACCTGTTACGTTGGAATCCCAGTGTTCTAAGCACTGAACAAATAATCAGTGAGAAAGCCTTTGCTTCAAAGAAAGTACAATTAAATGTGAAAAAGATGCAGTAAGTGGATGTAAGACAATGTGGGAGCAAGAGTAGACTTAGGACACAATGACTGTGACATGCTTACACAGATCATTTAGATGCTCAGTTATACAGTCAAACCAAAGGATGGAGCCCATAGGACCACCATCATATTCCTCAAACTAAGGAAGTGGGAAAGGGGAGTTGAATCATCAAGAGACTCTGAAGCAGACTGGCAGAAAGTGGAAAACACCACACAGTTGTGAAGATAAGGGAGGACATGATTTTTAAAACTGCATGATATCGATAGAAAGTACTTAAGGATGAGGATGATGAGGTTGGAGTAGAAACTGGGAAATGATCAGGAAGAGGAACTATAGATACTGTGAAAGCAGTTGCAATAGGGTGGAAAGATCACATGCCAACTAAAAGGGGAAAAGCTGAGGCAACAGTTGAAGATGGAATATATATAAACTTTAGGTGACAGAGAGAAGGGAAGTGGGATTAGTTGGAGAGACAGATGAAGTCCAAAGTAGAACCTCAGAATGAGGGGAGACCACAGCAGACATATTGTAGAATAAAAGCAGAAGAAAGAGCAAGATATTAATGAAAAAAATATTGGAAAAAGTGTGAGGGAGGGCAGGAAATCACAAAACAGGAGGTGGCAACTGGAAAGGGATGAGAAACTTCAGTGATTATGAAAAAGTGCAAAAAAGGAAGGGTTTTACAAAGAAACCAAATAGTGACATATAGATGAGACTGAAGGCCTAGGATTAATGTGAGTAAAGAAGTATCTCTTCTTAACCAGGAAGGTACAGGAACTGCAGGAGGAGAAAATCTGCAGCAGAGGAAATCCACATAAGTATGGACCACTCTCCAGAGGTGCTGATCAAGTGGAGGACATGAATGTTATAAGTGAGTTATGCATGGTGGGATGGGCTTTGCAGCAAGTACAAGGGGCAAAGGAATCAGTGACTGAATTTATAAATCAGGGTGGACTTGCATCAGACATAAATGGACTGGATTTTACAGAAGGGCTAGAAGCGAATAGGGTGAAAAGGAGCAGTGAAGAAAAGATTGAGAAAATGGCTGTTTTGGTGACTAGGAAAGCTGATTCAAGACTGAAAGTCCAACAAGGGAGGAGCTGGGAGTCTAAAAGGTTGGGAAGGAAATCAACATCATAACTGAAAATTGCAGATGACTGCTAAACAGAAAAAACAGAAAGGAAGATTAGGTTATCTAATCCCACTGCCACTTTGTCTCTTCTTTGGTTTTGCTGTTGCCTCCATAAGTAGATGCCCTTCCACTTATGTGTAATGTTGCAACAGCGTGGCATAATGCTATTGTAAATAAGCTTGTAACAAGTTTCTGTCTTCACTGGTTTAAACCCAATATTGTATGTCCACCCAGAAACCAATATACAGCTAATGCATCTCTTAGAGGACTCATGTCACATGCTACAAGTGATATTCACCATTAATAATATCTTGTAGTCAGATATTTCTCTTTATCAAAGAGCTCTGGAGAACCAAAGATGATAAGGGCTTCGTGTCTTGCGTTATAACACATGGATTTATATCACATGAATCTTGCAGATTCATCTTCTGAACTTCTGCATGCCACAAAATAGATGATTTTACTAGATTTGCAGTCAAATGTAGTTGTGTTACTATAGGGCAGATTTGGGTTCCAAAACTTGCTATTTTCAACACATGCACAATTTTACCTTTTAGAATAAAGGTAAATTCTATATATATAATTTATACTCCATTGTAAACAATTTCTTCATCACCATGGCTGTGTTATGTGCGCCATGAATTGTGAATATTTTGTGATTACATTTGTCTATTATCTGGTTAATTCTCAAATTTGGACAATCACAGTGCTCAAATTTAGCATTATTAACCCCGCAAATGATCCTAAACTGGTGAGGATCAAGGTCTTTTAAGTCAATGAGAGTGTTGCACACACAAAACAAAACAAATCTCCCCAGATTACTAGGTTGCAGTTATGCCTAAAATCCATTGATTGGAAGGGACCCTTCTGCCTCCCCCAGGTGGAACATGCTTATTTCCTTGTGTTCCATCATGAATATTCAATAAAAATTCATGTGTTATCCTGATGCTTGACTGAAGAGACAAAAAAAGAAGTAGTCATAAAATATGTCAACCCACAGTGGTCACTTGTGCAAATGTTCTTGGAAAGATGGATCTACTTCTGTCAAGATCTTTGTGCTAACACACAAACAACTGTTCCTTGACAAAACTGAGGTTTGCCACAACATTAATGATTATTGAATACTTTAGGGATAGCATTAACACATGTAACCACTGTGCCTGGAAAATAAAATTAAGGGTCTGGTTTAACAATACACAGACGTTAAGACATTCAGAGTTAAGGCTGAAGTTGTATCCTTAACTCACCTCATTGTGCCTAGGTATCCTAGCTCAAATGGCATCTAAGATCATCCAGAGTTCTGAGGCCCCAAATAGAGGACCATATCATACCTAGGCATAACAGGGAGGCCAAATTTAACATGAGTACATATAAAACTGACCAAAATAATAAAATGTTAATAAGCGTGCATATTCAACATACTATTACTCAATTTATTTTTGAAAATACTCAAGTTCTAATCTGTAATACAGATTTCAGTTACCAACCCTCAACTATAGTCCACATTCATGTTCTCTAAGAGTGCTCAGAAGCATTCAGAACTTGTTTTTAGATTATTCAACTACTATGTAAGGTATTTAAATTTTATAATGAAGACAGTTTCATAGTTATGATCTTTTCATGTAAAGTTTACATTCTGAAAACTTATAAAAAAGTTAAGATATATGGAAACTTAGGTACAAACTGAATTGTAGCACTGAGCATACATTTAGTTCCCGTATTATAGCAGTATCATACAAGGATGCAGTCTTGTCATTATAAATATTTACTATTACATTATAAAAAGTTCTCAGCAGAGAAACTAAACAGAGTACAAGGTGTCTTCCTAGACCAGGGGTGTCCAAACTTTTTTCAAAGGGGGCCAGATTTGATGTAGTGAACATGCGTGTGGGCCGACCATTTTGCCTGACATTCTTTGAACCATTAAAATTAAATGCAAATTAACTATTTTATGCAAAGTTTATTGCAAACGGCATACTTTTCATTTCATCACATGGATGACAAATCTAAACAGGTGTTAAATCACTCTGCCTTTCATATCTGAAGGCCAAATGAAAAAAAAATCCAGGAAGCTGAAATATATGTCAGGAACATTGTAAAGTACATTACATATTATTGGTAATAAAGGTTGTCCGTCAACTTTTAAGATCAAAAAATATGAACAGGAACATAACACCAAGTATACATGTTGTGTCCAAATATAGTTATAACTGATTTAGACCAACTGACTAACTGAGATTTTACAATGTATTCATCTCAATACATATGGATTCGTTGGGGGCCATAAAAGATAGATATTGCCAAATTACCTGTGGGGCCGTATTAAACCGGAACACGGGCCGCAATTGGCCCGCGGGCCGGACTTTGGACATGCCTGTCCTAGACTATAAATTTTTTTAAAGAGGAAACATAAGGAAGGAAGATGGCCAAAAATTAGAGTTTTGAAAGCAGAATCCTCAAAATATTTGGAACTCAGAATAGTCTTTTTAAAAAAAATAGTAATATAGTCAGACAGGTCACCAAACCCTAATATTTCCATTATTTTGCTGCAATCTTACCCAATTGCCAGGAAAGTTTGCTTTCCCACAGAAGAAAATCTGCTCACTCTCCCTTACAACATAGTGAATTACATACCTTTTTTTTTTTTTTTTTTAAAGAATAAAGGGCCAGGAAAAGACTTTATAAAATAGCAATATGTTCTAAATAACCTGCAAAAGGGAAAAATAAATCAGACAAGGCTTATTCCCCCTTTTTATTGCTTCTCTATAATATTCTCCCCTTCCCACTTCCTTTTTTTTTTAAAAATCTTAGAAATGAAACAAACAGCTCAGTTATTCCCTTGTTTTCTGGAGGACTTAGTGGGTAGCTCTCAGACCACAACTGATGGAACTGACTCCATAACACTGAGTACATGTTCACAAACTTTTACATGTTTACTAGCACATGAAGAGGGAAAAATGAGTATCATTTTTCAAATATTTGGTGCCATCATGTGGCAAAATTATGCACTACCACTTCAAGAGCTTTTAACAGTGTACGTTAGCTACTTTTCAACATTTAAAAAAAATAAATATACAAGTTGAACCTCTCTAGTCTGGCACCTTCAGGACCTGACAAGTACTGAACCACAGAATTTGCCAAACCTTGGGTGGTCAATATTATAGTGAGTGGCTATCTTTAATTCAAGGCAAATTAATGGAACGATGCTTGCAATGCTGCTTAATAATGTATGACTGTACCGATACACGCTATATAAGCCTACCCCTAGCTAATGCTTATCAGTCTTCTTCATTACAAAGTGCTACTGTACTGGCACAATGAAACAATGCTTATGCTTGGCAGTATTACCAGCACTTCCACTGCTTGCTGGGCTCTTAGACACAGAATGTCAAAAGCTAGAACTAGAGGCTGTAACTTCATGGGACCATGGGAAACGAGGCCTCACCCATGATAAGCGGAGGTCCAGCTAACTAAAATCATGCTGGACCATGGATGTTGCCAGATCAGAGCGTGCTGGACTAGAGAAGTTCAACCTGTATTTGTACAGTAGGCCAGTCACAACAGAGCAATCATTACTTGTACTGTAGGCCAGTCACAACAGAGCAATCATTACTATCCATAAAAGAGTACTCGAAAAAGCTTAACAGCTTTCCTCCTTTCTCTCATTACACAGATAACCCATACCTTCAAGATTTAAAAAAAAAAATACCAAGAGCCTTGAAAATGTAATAAACTTTCACCATTTGTTTTGAAATTTCCTAGCTTTTTATATGTATTTGCAGTCTATACATTAAAATAAAATTCCTTTTAACATAATCAAATGAAACAACCTGTTAAACACCAAGCGCAACGCTGCAGAAGCAAGCCTAGTGGAAGAAAAGAAAAGACATGAGCAAGCATAAAGCAGAGGAACACACAAATGGTCTGAAATATTTAAGAGGCACCATTTGATTATGTTGGGAAGCAGAACCCAAAAGAGTGAATGTGCAACCAACCATTCATACAGATATTAGCTGAACAATTGACAGCTACTTCACTGTGTTACAAGACGACAACTGGATCTGAGACTTACTGTTTTATAAGATTCAAGAGACTGCAGAGAAAGTGAAGAAAGTGAAATTAGGAAAGGCCAAGGAATGAGATCCTTTAGAACAGGTCAAAAGAGGCATGAAAGGAATAGGATAGATTACTTTTAAGCACAGATATAGAGGAGCCATAACAGTTAATGGAAAGGTTAAGTGTAATTTTAACTTCCACACTTCTACTTGTGCACAGATCTATGTGGATACCTCTCAACTTCCCAAAATGCAAATACATGATAATTATTTCAATTTGTAACAGGCCTACCAAAAATGAATAAAAATAGCAGTGCTCTACTTTAAGGTACAGTATATTTCTATAAGCTCTGTTTCAAGATTTAAGATTTCAGATACTTTACAACAGTGGTCACACCAACCTGTCGATTGCAGCACCCCTAGAAGTCAACCCCTCTCTGATCCAGCCCAGCTGGAGTATGATGCAACCTCAGCAAGCTGAAATGCCATGGCCAGCTGGTTTGGAGCAAGGAGGGGCAGACACCCGACCAGCTGGCCACTGGTTCAACCCACCAAAGCTGTGCCACACTCCATGTGGGCTGGATAAAAGAGGGGCAGCTACCCAGCCAGCAGCCATGCGGCCAGCTGCCCGGGCAGTTGCCTCTCTTGGATCCAGCTCCAACTGGAACGTGGCACAGCTTCGGTAGGTTGAACCCAAGGCGGTGTTTCAAAGGGGCAGCAGTGGAGCCCGGGATCAGCTGGGGACTCCCCAGCTGATCCCTGGCTCTGTGCAGCATTTCCTCAGAACCTTGGGTCAGTTGGGGAGTCCCCAGATGACCCCAGGTTCCGCTGCCATGCAGAGCTCAGAATCAGCTGGGAGACCTCAGCTGACCCCAGGCTCCATGGCTTTGCAATGCACAAGAGACCTCACTGGGGACTCTTGTGCATTTCAAAGCAGGCACCCACATGCAACCTAGAGTCAGCGGACTTCCTGCGGGCCCCAAGCTCTATGCAGAGTTTTGCATTCCTCCTTTGAAATGTGCAAGAGCCTCATTTCAAAGGAGGAATGAGGAAGTGCCTATCGACTCGTCAACGGAAATTCCATCGACTAGTCAACTAACTGCATTTTAACATCCTTAGTCCTCATCAGGGTCTTCAGTCCCAGTTTTTGGCACTTTATATTCAGGCTTCCAAACATGACTTGTTTTCCTCTTGAGGTTTATACCACTTTGTCACTGGGGGAAACAGAGCCTGTCCACTATTCCAGGTTCCAGCACAGAAACTCTATAAAATAGCAACTATATACCACAGATGTCAAATCACTGCTGCTACTACTCTGGACCACCTCCTGCCTGGCACCTTTATATTCAACTCTTAGCTTAAGGTGCAGTTCTCAGGTCCTCTATTTCTTAGCAAATGCGGCCAGAATCAAGCTCTGGTTATCCCTTGAGCCTAAAAGAGGAGCACCCCTCTTTGACTGCTCCCAGTCAAAAACAGACCTGCTAAGGCATTACAATTACTTTTATCGGAGCCTGCTGGACTCCAGCTGGCTGCTTCTGTTTAGCCTCATAAGACTAGCCTAGAAACTCCACCTCTGTCACTCCTTTCACAAGGCAGAGTGTAGTAGTTCTACTACATACCTCCCACTGCAGAAAGGGTTTGCGATGGTAGTCCTATCTGAGGGCAGTGTCCTCTCCTATGCATTCTTTGCCCTGCTTCCTTGGGGGTATTTTCTCCTTGATTCCTTTCTTTGGAGAACTTTTATTGGTCCCTTTCTGGCTGGAAAGGTCTTGTTTCAGGCTTCTGCATGGAGAGCTTTTGTAGCTGTTACCTTGATCAGTTGGGTGCCTGGCTTTTGTCTGAAGTACTTCTGCAATTTGAGCTCCTTTTCCTTCAGAGTGCTCCAGCTTGCTTCTTTTCACAGTAACGAGTTCCCTGCAATATTTCTCCTGCAAGGAGAGAAAGCTTCTCATACACTCTCTCTCTCAACTAGGGATGCTAAATACTGATTAACTGAATAGTTGATTAACTGCATGAATTATCAGTAGTTAGTTGACTATTCTACAGTCCCCAGAAGTGGGGCCAGCAGCCAGTGCACTCCGGCCCCACTCCTGGGGAGCCCCCGGTCAAGCCGCACTGCTGCCTCTATCAGAGGAAGCAGTGTGAGGTGCTAGGAGGGAGCTGGTCTGCAAGGGGGGGCCAGTTTAAAAACCAGCACCCCTCACAGACCGGCTGCCTGTCACCCTGTGCTGCTGTCTCTGATAAAGCAGCAGCAGTGTTGTGGTTGGAAAACCAGAAGACCATTGTATGTCGAGGAGTTTGTGAATCTTCCCAGTTTTCAAGTCTGCAAACTAGAAAACAGGCTTTGGCCTGCTGTTAGAAGGGAACATTCCTAGCATCTAGTTTGATAGAGAGATAGGCTGTGTGTAGTGTGTGTGTGGGGGGGGGGGAGCTCATCGCATAGTTGAGATAGGCTCCATGGTAACCAGAGCCTGTCCATGGGAAACTCCTCCCAGGCAGGGGCTGTTTTGGTTTCTGCTTTAGCAGAGAATTAGCTGCTGCTTCCAGGATTCTGTGTACAGGCTATATATTGCTTAATGTTGCCAACACCCTTTGGACTTCACAAAGGATCTGGAACTGTACAGAGATGCCTCTCGGACATGGCCCAGGAGTCCATCCTTTGCTGAGCAGGAGTCCTCAGTAAGCCAAAGGGATGTTGTAAGCCTTCTCTTGCCTTTTCTTTCTGTAATACCTAATAAACCTGGCATTTATTCACATTCAGCGATTTATTAGGTATTTATTGTGTCTTCTTGGTTACCCACTGAACCAGAAAGCAGAATCTCGCTGGCCCAGCCTCTGAAGTAAAACAGGCAGCACTGGGTAGCAGCAGCTCCTGTCTGGGTGGGGGGAGTAGGGAGGTCTGGTCTGAGCTCCTGGACCTGGCACAAACCAGAACTGAGTTGTGCTGCCTGCCCACCTAGCTCCTAATACACTTTAAATGCAGAGCCGCAGAAGGGGTAGATCCAGGACCCATCACAAGCCAGGGCCAAGCCAAGCTTCTGGCCAGCCTGCTAAAAAAAATGTACTGGCGTGGAGGAGGGGGGTGTGGGGAATGCATAGAGTTTATAGCATTAACCTATACGTTTTTGCTTATCAGTTAACTGACTACACTAGTACATCCTTTTTCTCAACTCTCTATTTGAGTCCTTTTCAGAATCCATAATCTCATTTCCTCAGAAGGACATGCAACAGCTCGGGATTTCTCAAGACTGCCAGTAGTCTCTGCCTCCTGTTACCACATTCCCCTTGTGCATTCTTCGCTATCACCTCCTGTCCCGCATAGGACATGTGTATGTACACTGAGACTTCAGTATATTTTTGTCAGTGATAAAAGTGGTTTCATTCCGTACTCCTTCATCCTCCTCTGGATGGATTTGCTGAGCAGTTATATCATACACTGTTTCTAGGGTCAGCTGTGATAAATAGAGCTCATAGGCATTTGTGCCATCAGACACCTTTTTATCATCTTGACTATTCTTGGGGCTCCTACATTTCCTGCAGCAAGTCCATCTTCACAAGGGCAAAACCTTTTTTATGTGGCTTATCTCTCCAAACCAAGGCAATGAAACCTTGTCTGCCTCTCACCAACTAGCAGTTTGTGATTCTTCACACCACTCACTCCAGCAACTCAGTCTCTCTCCCCTCCTCCCAAGCTCACTCAAGAGCAAGCAGCGTCCAAAACCATCACATCTCCTTGAACAGGTCTCAGTCCATTGGATCACTCTTGTTTCTCTAGAAGCCACTGCTGCTTCTTTCCTGCAGGATCCATAACTAGAGTTCTGCGCAGATGCAAAATTTAGTATTCACTTCTACATCTCTATCCACAAAAGTGAGCTACGAATACTTACAGATATTAGGGATGTAAAATCCCAATTAACCAGTTAACCACTTAACTGGGGCTTGGCTGTTCCAACATAGTCTGCCTTGCCGTGCCACAGCTGGGGGCCACTCGGGTGAGGCCCACCAGTTACATCCCTTGCAGACATAAAGCAGATATCTACAGATTCACAGGGTTCTATCCATAATAGATACTGCTTTGACTCCCCTAGCCTGTCTAGCTGCTGTGGCAATTCAAACTGCACTTTCTGCTACACTCTGAGCCTCACCAAACTCCTGATACAATGAACACATTTCCCTTCAGCATCCACTCAAGCTGAGACTTAAAACCTCTAGAGATGGAGATTCCACCACCTCCCTAGGTAACCCATTCCAGCACTTCACCACCCTCCTAGTGAAATAGTTTTTCCTAATCTCCAACCTAGACCTCCCCCACTGTAACTTGCATTCCCCTCAGCCGTATAGTACCAGCATCTATTTAGTGGGCCATCTGCCTCCTTTCCCTTTAGCATCTGCAAGACCTTGGCTTATTTGGATGGTGTCATGGTTGCCAAGCTCTGTCAAGGATCAGATGAGACATGAGACATCAAGCACTTAAGACAGGAGTAAGCGTCATGCTGCATTGACATTGCCCCTTGATGGAAAGGGAGTCTCATAACCCCACATGATACTAAGTTACAATGGCGGGAGGAGAACTTACCTCTTGAGTGCCTTCCAGCAACTTGGTATGCTATAACAGTTAATTCCTGCTCCTGGAATCCTGTGAAGGTTGCCAACTTTGTTGAGTGTATCTTCAGTGGCTCAGCCCCATGGCTGGATAACACAATCAAAATGAATCCCTTCCAGAGTAACAGAAGTCTAACCAAAATTGTCTCTCTGCCCTCATCAGGGTCTTCAGTCCTGATCCTGAGCTCTTTATTTTAGCTCAGATATGGGGAACCTTTTTTGGGTCAGGGGCCAATGACCCACAGAAAAAAAAAATCAGTCGGGGACCACACACAGTTGAGAAGCAAAGTGAGAAGCCACGGACTGAGAAGGAAAAAGGCACTCTTCACATTCCCCTTGCACACTAAAGATTAGGGGGGCCCAGGCTAGTAGATTTTGCATGCTCCAGCACTGTGGGTAGGTGGCAGAGGGCTGGAGTACCACCACAGGGTGCCCAGTTGTGAGAGAGATCCAGGCAAGTTAGGGGCCACATCTTGTCCCCAGGCTTGGTGTTCTCCACCCCTGATTTAGCCCTTCACTCAAGCTTATCAGAAGAACTGGGTTTTGCCCATGAAAGCCCATGATGCTATTTGCTATATATGTTTTTGTAGTTTCTAAGGTGCCACAGGACTACTCCTTGTTTTTAAAATTACAGATTAACCTCTCTTAGCTCTTCACTTAGACCTACAAATAAGATTTGTCCCATAGTTTGGCAGTGGAGGAACCACAGACCACCCTAACCCCATTCCTGTCCCTCCCCCACCCCGTGCACGCGCGCACACACCCACACACACACACACAAACACGCTCCCTCTCCCCTTCCCCCTCCCTCCAAATAGGAACACTATACACAGCTTCCAAGTACTGCTCACTTGGATTTTCTGCTGCTACTTCCCTGGACCTCCTACCATCTGGCCCCTTTAGCTCTGACCCTTATCTTAGGGTTAAGTTCTCAGGCCCTCTCACCCTGAGCTTGAGAATACAGCCAGAACCAAGCTCTATTTATCCCTTCGGCAAGAGAGAGTGTGAGAGAAGCATCCTTCTTTGGCCCTCTGCTCTCAGCCAAAAACTAATCCTAAGGTACCACAATTCCTTTTATATGAGCCTCCTGGTCTAAATGGCTTCTGTGCAGCCTCTCTAGGCAGGCCTGCAGGACCCACCTTTGCTACCCCTTCCCTGGAGCAGGGTGAAAAAGGATGCAGGGCATCCTGTAAGGAGCCAAGAAGGCCAACTCTAGCCATGCATATCTATACCCATTTAAAAAACAGAACTACTAAACTAGCTTTTCTTGATAAGAAACTTTACATTTGATCTGGTTACGCTTCCTTGCTTTGCTAGTTCACTAACGATATATGTTGATCTGCCTGTCAAAGCAGAAATATAAAGCTCTTTGTATTACTGCATTATCTCTTTAATTAAGCAAGATGTATTTCATTAGTATAAACAACATTTTCAATTATTTGTTGCAAACCTTATGTATTTCAGATACAAATAATTAAAGGAATACTTTCGGATCAAGTCTGTACACAAAACAGGTAAATATAGCTTTACAATATGAACATTTCCTAAAATGAAAGACATTTGAGAAATATAGGAATAGCAGCTCTACTTCGAAAGACTTTAAATATAATTCTCCCTATAATCTTTTGTTGAAAGTGGTTTCAAAATATCACTGATTAAAAAAAAAACCTTTCAAGCTAATCCTTTATGCCATGGAAATGAAGTTTTAAAAGCATCATTTTCAATTACTCTTCCACTCCTCTCAACAGAATTTTACTTTTCCTTGTCTGGCAAGATTTTGTCAGACTAAGCATACCTTGTACAGTTGTTTACTTTTGTGTAACCTTTCTTCTTTCTCTATGAAAAACCCTGTTTCATGGGGCATCTAAGGAAGTCACTGAGATTACTGTACCTGTTTAGCAAAAAATATTGTGTCTAGTCTGGAATCCTGAACAACAGAACCAGCTGGCTCTTCTCCTGGCTGCCATTTGAAGAGGAAGATCAGCCCATGAACTGGTCTAGAAAATAAGAGGTCAAAGCAGAAATTAAAAATAGTTTGCACAGTTCTTTATCATCTGACAAAACAACTCCATTAACTCTTATTTTCTAAACACTGTCAATTAAGCTCAGATTCCTGAATGAATACAGATTTTTGGAAAGGCCACACACAATTCCAGGTGGAATTAGTGTTCAAATAACACTTTAGAAGAATCAAAATTTGCCTTCTTGATCACTTGGTAAACTGGACTTTAAGTGCCAGTTTATTTCTGATCCAATACACATTTTACTAAGAGGTTAAAGAAATCCAGTATATATTTACCTTATACCCTGTTTCTCCCCACCCCATCGCCATCTGCCTGACCAATAACGCTATTCATAACATTGTCTTTAGAAACAGATATCACAATCATTATCTAAGCATGGATAAACACTGCAATTATAGTTTGGTATTTTAGGTGGTACTTTTAAGATTCTATACATGAACAAATCATAGAATACTAGAACTGGAAGGAGATCATCAAGTCCATTCCCCTGCCCTCATGGCAGGACCAAGCACCGTCTAGACTATCCCTGATAGATGTTTGTCTAACCTGCCCTTAAATATCTCCAGGGACAGAAGTTCCACAACCTCCCTAGGCAATTTATTTCAGTGTTCAGCTTCCCCTCTCCACCCCCCCCCCTTTTTTCCTAATGTCCAACCTAAACCACCTTCCCTGTAGTTTAAGCCAATTGCTTCTTGTTCCATCATCATAGGCCTAGGAGAACAATTCCCCCCCCCCCCCCCTCATGTCCCCACTCAGCTGTCTCTTTTCTGAACGAAATAAGTCCAATTCCTTCAGCCTTGCCTCATAACTTATGTTTTCTAGGTCTTTAATCATTTTTCTCTTCCCTGGACTTTCTCCAATTTCTCCACATCTTTCCTGAAATGTGGTGCCCAAAACTGGATACAATACTCCAACTGAGGCCTAATCAACACAGAACAGAGCAGAAGAATGACTTCTTGTGCCTTGCTCATAACACTCCTGTTAATGCATCCCAGAACACTAGAACTGAAAGGGACCTCAAGAAGTCATCAAGTCCAGTCCCCTGCCCTCACAGCAGGACCCAGTACCATCTAGACCAGGGGTCTCCAAACTACGGCCCGCGGGCCGGATGCGGCCCGCGAGGCCCTCTCATCCGGCCCGTGGAGACCTTTTTGTCTACCCATTGCAGGAGGCGGTCTGGTTGCTGTGGCACAGCCTCTGGGTGACGCTGTGCCGTGCCTAGCGCGCTGCCCTGGTCCCTGCAGTGCGCCCTGAAGAAACATCCCTCTCCCTTCCACGTCTGGTCTCTCTCATCCACAACCCAGAGCAGCACCGCCCTGCCGGGTATCAGTCTGTGGGAGCGTTGGGCACTGCTTTCCAACTTCCTTTACCAAGTGATAACGTGTCTGCTTTCAAACCAGCTTTTCCCATTAAAATGCATGCCCCTTGTTCCATGGGGCTATGTTACAAATTGTCACCTCATTCCCTGCATGATAGGAGAGCGATCACATCTCTTCAAGTGTGAGTGTCTTAGGCTGAACATATTGCCAGGATTATGTTGCTTACAATTTTCATCACATTGCGCAGGTGGAAATGAGTTCTCAGCAGTTTCCCCGTTCTGGAGCCCCTCCTGCAGGACTAGGACAAGCACCACCCCCAATTTCAAACAGTGATTTCTAAAGCCAGAAATGTCTGCTATTTTGGCATCCAGGAAACAATTTCACCATTCACACTAATACAGGTGTTCATGTGTAGTGTATCAATGTGTTATTAAATAATAACTGAATAAAATAATATTAAATAAATAATTAAAAACAACATCCATGTTTTGATTGTTTTTTATTTGGACCTCAAGTGTGTAGTCGGCCCCCGAACTGCTGTTTGATAGTTAATGCGGCCCTCGGGCTGAAAAGTTTGGAGACCCCTGATCTAGACCATCCCTGACAGGTGTCTATCTAACCAGCTCTTAGTTCTCCAAATATATCTCTGGAGATACTTATCTCAAGAGATATCATGTTTGCTTTTTTTGCAGCGTTACACTGTCGACTCTTATTTAGCTTATGGTCCACTATGACCCCTAGATCCCTTTCTTCAATACTCCTTCATAGGCACTCGCCATTCTTTATGTGCGAAACTGATTGTTCCTTCCTAAGTGGAGTACTTTGCATTTGTCCTTATTAAATTTTATCCTATTTACCTCAATCCATTTCTCCAGTTTGTCTAGATCATTTTGAATTATGATCCTAGCCTCCAAAGCAGTTGCAACCCCTCCCAGCTTGGTATCAACTGCAAACTTAATAAGCACACTCTGTATGCCATCATCTGAATCACTGATGAAGATATTGAACAGAAGTGGTCCCAACCCCCCGCCTGCAAAAGCCCCCTTGTTATGCCCTTTTAATCAGACATGTAGAATGAGAAAAACATTATGTTGACTGGAGAGAGTATGGCAGAAAAGCGAGTTTTACTAGGAATGTGAATGTCTACTCAGATAATTGACATACTAGTTGAGTAGTCGCTCTCCTTCCCCTTCCCCCCACCTTGCTGCCTCTATCAGCAAAAGTCAGAAAGTGCAGGGGAGAATGAGAAAGGGATGCATGCATGGAGCCCAGAATGTTGAAATGACACAGAGACTGACGCCAGGCTCCTTGCAGCATTTCAAAGTTGTAACACTGCAACTCCCCAGCTGCCCCCGGGCTCCATGCAGCACTGCCGCTTTGAAACACCGTGGGGTGCACAGGGCCAGCAGGTGACTGTTTGAGTCCCCTGCTGGCTCTGTGCTCCCCACAGTGCTTTCACTTTGGAAGTGTAGCAACAGCCTCAGAGCTGTTGCTACACTTCAAAGGCGGAGACGCCCTTACTGACTAATCAAATAGTCCAGGGGTTCCCAAACTTTTTGACACGGGGACCAGTAAATCCATTCATGAACTTTTGGAGGACCAGTAATGTGCATTTGCATAGTTGCATATTCATTAATCAAATGAATAAATATTCAAATAAGTTGTTTCTGGTCCTCCCAAAACCTCCAGTGCCAGCTTTAGCAAAGCTTTTGATATGGTCACCCACAATATTCTTGCCAACAAGTTAAGGAATATGGATTGGATAAATGGACTGTAAGACAGACAGAAAACTGGTTACACCAGGGTTTCCCAAACATTTTACTTTAGTTGGAGCCCCCCCCCCCCTTTTTTTTTTTCAGTTCTGCTTTTTGCGGCCCAAAAATATAAACACATAAAAAACAAACTGAGAAAATACCAGACATATAAAATGTCTGGTATTTTCTCATTAGGTAAGTTGTATTATTATTAGATGTATCAGTTTGTAATTTCGAACTGCCTGGCTGGTAAATGTGCTCAGGCTGCATGAGTGTGTCTACCAGCCAGACAGTTGGCAACTACTCAAGGGGTGTGTGCGTGTGGATCCCCAGGCTGGACTAACTCATGCTTTGTGCTTTGCGGGGGGAGAGGGGGAACAGGAGCAGCGCCCCAAGATCTACATATGGCCAGGTCAGTCCCACTCCCCGCAGGCCAATTCATTCCTCTCCCCTGCTTCCTCCG